CTTGGGTGGAACCCACAAGGGTGAGACATTTACCACTTGGGTGGAAGCCACAAGGATGAGACATTTACCACTTGGGTGGAAGCCACAAGGGTAAGACATTTAACACTTGGGTGGAAGCCACAAGGATGGGACATTTACCACATGGGTGGAAGCCACAAGGATGGGACATTTACCACATGGGTGGAACTCACAAGGATGGGACATTTACCACATTGGTGGAACTCACAAGGATGGGACATTTACCACATGGGTAGAACCCACAAGGATGGGACATTTACCACATGGATGGAACCCACAAGGATGGGACATTTACCACGTGGGTGGAACCCACAAGGATGGGACATTTACCACATGGATGGAACTCACAAGGATGGGACATTTACCACATGGGTGGAACTCACAAGGATGGGACATTTACCACATGGGTGGAACTCACAAGCAGGGATGTGGTGCCAACAAACCAGGGGGCATGTTGAAGGTGAAATTGGGGCTCAAACCTCAGACTAATGGAACCCTGATCTCTGGAGTGCAAGGAGTGAAATAATTCACTGAATGAGTATCATATCAGTAGGTCCTGTATCAATACAAAATGATACAAGCTTACATGAGGCCATGATATAAATATAATATCAGTATGACATGCATGGATACTGAAAAGTTTATTCAAGGAAGACCATGTAAGATGGTATGAAAGTTAATTGTCAAATAATATTTTCTGCTTGTATGTACTCGTACATGAGGTTTTTAAGCCTGTTCACTGTTTTATTAGTGGACAAGTATTATCTACTAGATATGTCCCTCACTCACTCACTCATTCACTCTCATTCACTCACTCACTCACTCAAACACTATCCCTACACTGGATCACAAACATTGATTGTTAAACTGGCATCGACAAGTCCAGCATATAAATCGTTTGTACCAAATGGATAGAATTTATGTTTTCCTGCTTCCATATATATCTCAGTATGATACCAAGTTAGCATTAATTAAGATTCTTTATGAGAATATACCAATAAGGTTTATCAAGGATTAAGTAGCAATCTTTAGTCAATGGTTTCAAAAGATCTGAAGTTACTCTTTTTCAATAGAGCTGTGTAAATAGCCATATTTCCAGATTTCAATCTGCTATATAATTATGGATGAGGGTTTTTATCCAGCCGTTATTATTTTAGGATTGCATAAATACCGAAACCTAGTTCCAGTCTCTTAACTGGCAAGTACTTCAATGCAATTTCAAAGAACTAATTACCCGTCGGTGTACCGATGTGATGTATGGCGTACTGTGATATGAGCTAGTTTTGCAAGCTAATTTGTTTAGTGAAACTCTTAGTATCATTTCACGAGAACAGTTCACATTTCAACGATATTTCCATTCTCAGATGAATCAGTCAGTTATAGTTGTGTTTTTCACAATCAAACCATCAAACATGTTTGACTGAGAGAAGGACTGCAATGGGATCAAGTTGTTCATGTGAGATTCTTAACCCTGGAGAGCTTCGGAAAGTTTGTTGCATTAATTACAATTATGAAGCGTTGAAACAACCTACTGAAGCGTATATAGCCTCTCTGTGGATTCATCAAAAGTGGCAGAAGCATTATGAAGGCAACCAAGGGACATCTATATAATGGTATTATTATGCAAATAAAGTATGAATATTAATGAAGTGGGTGTTAACAAGCTTGGACCAATTGGGTTTTTTCTGTCTGGATGGTTTGTGAGGCAGTGTGTATGACAGATTCACGTTTCTTTTTGCGAATTTATTGGAAACAGCTGTCTTGTAGTCGGTGTGAATCTCTTGAAGGTTTTATTTATTCACCTGGATTGCTTTTGTGGCATTGTTCAGTTGGCATGTTGGTCTTTGGCTGGATGTTTTAGTGTCCTTCATATGGAGATTGGGTAGGTCAGGGGATGGGTAGGTATGGGGATGGGTAGACATGGGGATGGGGTAGGTCTGGGGATGGGGTAGGTCAGGGGATGGGTAGACATGGGAATGGGGTTGGTCAGGGGATGGGTAGACATGGGAATGGGGTAGGTCAGGGGATGGGTAGACATGGGAATAGGGTTGGTCAGGAGATTGGGTTGGTCAGGGGATGGGATAGGTCAGGGGATGGGTGGGGATGGGGTTGGTCAGGAGATTGGGTAGGTCAGGGGATGGGGTAGGTCAGGGGATGGGGATGGGGTAGGTCAGGGGATGGGTAGACATGGGAATGGGGTTGGTCAGGAGATTGGGTAGGTCAGGGGATGGGTAGACATGGGGATGGGGTTGGTCAGGAGATTGGGTAGGTCAGGGGATTTGGTAGGTCAGGGGATGGGTAGACATGGGGATGGGGTAGGTCAGGGAATGGGTAGCCATGGGGATGGGGTTGGTCAGGAGATTGGGTAGGTCAGTGGATGGGATAGGTCAGGAGTGGATAGACATTTGGATGGGGTAGGTCAGTGGATTGGTAGACATTTGGATGGGGTAGTTCAAGGGATGGGGAGGATGGCATCTTTAATTGTCCTACACAATAGCTTACTTCAGATTCTTCCATGTGAATGAATGTTTCATTATAGTGTGACCTATTGTTACAGTCAGAGGCTTTGATCAAGCTGATTGCTAAAATGGATAGTGGCACAGAAACTCACTGACACACAATATTCCCCCTTGGCGTTTCTTTACAGTTGTCTCAGAATTCCGGGATGTGAATACAAAGCGGGATTTATGATCCTGGGGTTCTTACAGAAGTCAAGGCTATGATTAAGATTGGATGCTTTTGATCCTGGAATAGAGATGGACCCAAGTAGTGGCTTCTATGATAATGACACATACAGTTAGGATGAGATGAACTGGACAAAGAAGGGACTTTTATGGGTTTTTCCTGGCAAGAGAAATTCTTGGTTATGTTCTGATTGCAATGCAATTCCACCAATCAAAAGAATAATACTTAGAGCCATGTTTTCCTCATGTTTAATAAAATCCAGTAGTTTCAAGCAGGATGTTGATGGGGATCGAAGCAGTAAAGCCTCCTTTATTTCACTGAATGTGGTATTGCTTGTTCAAACCCGACTTGTTGGCTTCTCCTCACATAGTCTGACATGATAAATATCTGACAGTTGCCTTGTTAATTGGCAGAGATCTGCATGTCATTGGTTGTCGAAGATCTGCATGTGATGAGTTGTCAAGGATCTGTATGTGGTGGGATGTCAAGGATCTGTATGTGGTGGGTTGTAAAGGATCTGTATATGGTGGATTGTCAATGATCTGTATATGGTGGATTGTAAAGGATATGTATATGGTGGGTTGTCAAGGATCTGTATGTGGTGGGTTGTGAAGGATCTGTATGTGGTGGGTTGTCAAGAATATGTATGTGGTGGGTTGTCAAGGATCTATATATGGTAGGTTGTCAAGGATCTGTATGTGGTGGGTTGTCAAGGATCTGTATGTGGTGGGTTGTCAAGGATCTGTATGTGGTGGGTTGTCAAGGATTTGTATGTGATTGGTTGTCAAGGATCTTCATATGACAAGGTGTCATGAAATATGTTGGTTGTCAGGGATCTGTATGTGGTGGGTTGTCAAGAATCTGTATGAGGGTTGTCAAGGATATGTATGTGGTGGGTTGTCAAGAATCTGTATGTGGTGGGTTGTCAAGGATCTGTATGTGGTGGGTTGTCAAGAATCTGTATGTGGTGGGTTGTCAAGGATCTGTATGTGGTGGGTTGTCAAGGATCTGTATGTGGGTTGTCAAGGATCTGTATGTGGTGGGTTGTCAAGAATATGTATGTGGTGGGTTGTCAAGGATCTATATATGGTAGGTTGTCAAGGATCTGTATGTGGTGGGTTGTCAAGGATCTGTATGTGGTGGGTTGTCAAGGATCTTTATGTGGTGGGTTGTCAAGGATTTGTATGTGATTGGTTGTCAAGGATCTTCATATGACAAGGTGTCATGAAATATGTTGGTTGTCAGGGATCTGCATGTGATGGGTTGTCAAGGATCTGCATGTGATGGGATGTTTAGACCTGAAACATCTGATGTCCATGTCAGAATTTGTTTATCTAGTATGCCCTGAAACATCCTTTCAGTTTATAATACAAGTTAAGTAAGCTAATGCAGTGATCTTCTCATATCAGTTAACAGATTTTTATTACTTAAGAAATAAACGACTTGTCATTGTTTATCGTACAATAAAACTCTGTAGGGAGAATAAACCATGAGGGGCACCGCCCTAAGTGAAGTGTTTTATTGTATGACAAACAATGATCACGAGTTGTTTATTTCTTATATGAGATATAAACATTATGTACGGCCTCTTTAAGGATGATGATGAAATATACAGGCTTTAGAAATATTACCCATATTTTAATAATGGTGACTCCTTAATTGAATCCGACTTCGGCAATGTCGGACATATCCATTTTATGCACAGGTGGGTATTTCCCACATATTCTCACAATCCTCGCATCGATTACCTGTACCTTTTCTCCCAATGATGATTGTCATATCTCTTCCACTTGTTGATGCGATCGTTCAGTTATCACGTTTATCAGCGTTGCCCAGCTACATCTATGGGGAACAACTCACCAGACACTCCCCTCTCAAATATAACGTTGTCCAATATAGGATGTCATCAAGTTGAGAGCGCTTATTCGAATCTCCAGAAATGATGCCATGATAGATGTTTAATCGTGAAAAAAAACACACATCGTTCTTCATTGTTCTTTGCGATTTATTGCATAGCTATCTTATGAAAGACTTTTATGTATATGAAGCACACAGTCATTGTGTAAATTTACTTTTCAGGACCTTAATTACCAAAGAAATTAATTTCAAAGAACCAGGCCCTTCACACTGAGCTGTAAATGACATGAAATGCCATGGATTACACTGATGTAGTTTGACCTTCTTGCAAGCAAGAATTCATATATGATCAAACCATTTTCATTTGATTTATCAGACAAAATGAATTTTGAATCATTTGTGTAATGAAATCTTCAAGTATTTTCTATTTTTTTCTTCAGATTTTACCTTGCAGTCTTGTGAATAACACCACACAGACACTGTTGTATTGAGGTAAGTGGTTTTGAATTCAGTTGATTTATGATTGAATATTTTAATCATTTTTGTGCAAAAGTGGGGGCACGTTTGGCCCAGTTGTCTAAGGTGCAGCGATTCGCTGTGCAGAGTTGCGTCCCTTGGGCACGCCAGAAACCTATGATTGTTGGTTCGAAGCCAGATTCACCTCATTATGTTTCTAGGTTTATCAGCACCATACCCGTGCTCGTGGGTTTCCCTGAAGTGGTAAACGTCTGAGACCTGCATCACTTTGGGCTTTCCTCCCACATTAAGCTGACACGCCGTAATATGACTGGAATACTGTTAAAAGCGACGTTAAACCAAACTCACTCACTCACCCATTGTGCAAAAACAAAAACTAAATTAAATAAATCCTTTTGCAAAAATAAATTTCTATAAAGAAACAGCATGTTGCAGCTGCCAATCAATCCGGTGATGTACTGAATTTATTCAGTTGCAGCTGGACCAAACCGTTGATTTTCTTGTTTTGTGGTTCCAAGCCTAAATTCTCAAATGTGGAGGGAAAAGCACTCAAAAAACTACTTTCTCAACTCTTACTAAGTAGATGGGTACAATGTGTCAAGCCAATATCTGGTGTCCCCCACCGTGATATTGCCAAAATATTGCTAAAAGCAGTGTAAAATCATACTCACTCACTCACTTACTTAGTAGAGGTCAATGAATTTGTTGCAATGGCTTTTGAGGAGGAAAGGAAAACTAGCCTTACATACAGGTGTTTTTGAATGTATATTCTTGATTAAAAGGTTTGGAAGATTGAATAGATACTTTGTAAGATCATTATTTTATTATTATTTTCACAGAAAAGTTTAAATAAAAAAGGGTTTTGTAGACGTGTTGCCATATGAGCAATCTGTACATATGTTGGTTCCACATACCTTGCTGTTTAATGTATAGTTTTGACCATCTTTTTGTAGAGAATATGTACAGTTTGCATTCTGGGAAGAAAAAAGACAACTTCACCTTTGTTCCCCTTTATATTTTTATGCTGGTGATTCAAAAAGGCAATTTTTTAATGAAACTTCAAAAGTCACCTGTTGACTTCTATCAAGTCTGACCGCTACAATACCTGTCTGTAACACAAAAACAACAAATTTGTACACAATTCCATTTAAGACAGTACAGGAGATTTATATGACACCAAGCAGTGTAAAGCTATATTAGTACAATCACATCAAGGGTTGAAGGCCATGTTTCAGCCTGACCTTGGTATTCCTTGTGGATGAATTTACTCCCACTATCTGATCCTGATTGGTTCACTGGTCATGATTAGACAGACTTCTTCCTGGAGGAGATAATGATCGTATTGACCCCTGTGTTGGTGATACTAACCATCCCGCCATTAGCCAGGCCATCTTCCAGCAGGGATGGTTACAGACAATAGCATGCTTCAAGGTCAAACTAAGGCTAATTTTGATTGGGCAATAGAAACCCACTGCCACATGGTGATTGGTTGACTTGATATAGTTGTCAATCCAAAGAGTTGTTAAGAAAGATTCCTGTTTTTATAGTCTTGTTGATGCTTGATGTTTCAATCTGTTGCAACAATTTGAATAGCTGTATATGATTTTGAAAATATGCATTAAATTTGACATTTGATCCGTCACGCTCAGTGTTTAGTTCCAAATTGAATTCAATGCTAAGCAATATATCGGCAGGACAGTGCTACATTGAAAACATGATATGTTTATCTCCTAATTATGATGCAACATGCTGTAACTGGTAACTAGGTAACCGTCACAGCCATGTTATTTAGGAGTACAATTTGCTGGTTGCTGAGTATTTACAGGCTGATATGATACCGATGCATCTGGGGACCAGATAGGTTGACCATTGACAAGTGTGTCACACAAAGACACACAGTAGATTCTCCATATATACAATATGTAAAATATCGAGATCTGAGCTTAAATACTCCTGTGAATTTCACAGAGAAAGGGGCCAAATCATGTAATATGATACCCCACCTTGTCAATAAAGGGGTGGTGGCTGAAGTGTCCGCTTGTTGAGCTAAATACTGGATTCGTTCCCCACATGGCATTGATGTTGAACCATATTTCTTGTTTCCACCTCTGCTTGAATATTTGCTAATAGCCGTAAAAAACAACAACTATGCACCCACCCACCCAACGCTCGCTCATTCACTCACTCACTCACTCACTCACTCACTCACTCACTCACTCACTCACTCACTCTGATCTTGCAACTTTTACTGTGGATTGTCAACCTAAAATAATGATAGTTTTATGAGCCATTTAAGTATACTGGTCAGTGGGTTGGGTTTTACGTCGCTTTTAACAATAGGCCAGTAATATCATGGCGGGAGACACCAGAAATGGGCTTCACACATTGTACCCATGTGGGGAATGGAATGCAGGACCTCGGCATATTGAGCAAAAGGCTTTAACCTAACCTACCCCTCCGCACCTTTGAAGTGTAATGAATTGGTTCAACTTGCAGAGATTTGACAATTTCCATGATGAAATCATTGGCCTGTCCTGTTAACAGCAATCAAACAGGTTGCAGTTGCTGTTCTAGTACCCCAGCGTGAGACGGTTTTATTAGGTGAAACGATCCAAATTGAATATGGGAACAGGGGGGATGACATTTTCAAGCCAAGACTTACAACTTAATTAATAGGGAAAACATCCCTTATGTAGTCATAGGCTAATATGGGCAATCATCTTTTTGCTAGGACAAGATTTTAGTACAAAAAAATGCCTATGCATTTAAATAGTACTTTCCATAAAAAGGATATAGGACTGTACATGAAATGCATCTATATTCAAATTTCTATTTCATTCTTCAACACTAAAAGATTGTATGCATAATGTTCATTTATTATATAATTTTTTCATCATGAAAAACATGAATCTGGTGATGAATGTCATTTTGTCTGTTGTACTTAAAACTAATTGGATATATATTTTTAATTTAAATGTAAATTAAAAGAAAATATTGACAAATACAGTCCCCATGCATTTTTGTCTAAGTCAGTGTGTTAATATAACCCTGAATAGTTCTAACCTATGTTAGAGTGTTGAACATTATTTTTTTAGCTCAAACCATGTATAACTTCTTTATATAAGAGGAGTTTGCAGTGACCAGAAATTACATATAATCAAGATCACCAATTAATATGGATTATGTTACCTGTAATAGTTACGAGGGGTGGCTGAAAAGTTCTCAGCCTAACTACGAAGGATATACAGAACACTTTCAACAGTTGGCATGTGTTAAGTACAATACTCTCATCACGGGCTGCATTTGAACCAAATACACAACTAGGCAGCATACTGTACTCAACAAAATAAGTGCCCAGGGCACTTTCAAAATTAGACATAGAGGGCTCTTATTAGAATATTATTTGGGTGAAAAAACAGAGGTGAAAGATCGTAAATTTCGTGGTTTATGCTGACAGCCTGAAATGTTTATTTACGACAAATATTTTTTTTCCAGAATTTATTTGCCCATACACGATTAAATAAGTCGTGTGTACATTGGTCAATCGGAAGGGGTGCTAATTGGGATTGTTCACTAGCCAATGTATTAGCAAATATCGCCGTGGGCGCTTATTAGAGTGGGGCACTTATTACATCGAATACAGTATTTCTTTAGGAAGTGACTAGGCATTCTTGGTTGATGAAAATGGACAAAACTGGCTACCATGCTGTCATCAAGTATCTCCAACTGAAAGGGCTAACTCCAACAGCCATCCATGTGGATATGGTGTCAATTTTAGGGGATTATGCACTTTCCCGTGCAGTGTTAAGAGGGAGGCACAAGAGTTCAAGAGGGGAAGAGGGAGCCTGGCAGATGATCTAAGATCGGGAAGACCTTCAGCTGCCACCACTAATAAACAATTCATAAAATATGTAATATGATTATAGATGACCGACCACATGTCACGTGGCCAATACAGTAGGCATCTCTCACGGGAAAGATTTAGATATTCTGGAGCTGGTTATGATGATGCTGTCTTAAGCTGGGTTCCAAGCTTCTGCCCCCGGATCAGAAACTCACCAGGTTCATAATCTGTTGTGAGAATTTACGTCATTTGAAGCAGGCCTTTTTGAGCAAGCTGTAGCCATTGATGAGTCACCAAGGAACTAAACAACAGTCAAGCAGTGGAAATATCTAATATCTTCTCAAAAGAAGATGGCAGTCTGTTCCATCAGCTGGCAAGATGATGCCTTTGGGTTTCTGGTGTTCAAAGGAATTCTTCTGGTGGACTACTAGGGCTGAGACGAGTCCAAATTTACTACCCGGGTACCCGGGTACCCGCCCCCCTATTACCCTACCCTACCCGGGTACCCACTCCAGGTCTCAGGAGATGTCTACCGATTGGGAATTGTTTTAGCATAGCCCTGGCAAAACGTATTTAGATACATGTATTGAGCAATCTGGTCATGCATACACTGAAGTTGAATTAAGTTATATCTTTATTAAACCATATGAAAAATCAGAAGGAATGGGTGCACAGTCAGAAAGTGCAAAGGTCTGTGTTGCCATGGTTGCAATGCACGACTGGCTTTGAATTCATTGAACATCCTCCTTATTCACCAGATTTGGCACCATCAGTTTTCCACCTCTTCTCAAACTTGAAGAATGAATTTTCTAGCAAGCATTATGTAAATGATGGTGACATCTTTTGTTCTGTGATGGACGTTTTACCCAACAGGAGGAAGCCTTCCACACCAGCGGGATCCAGCCACTTCAGCATCGTTGGCAGAAATGTGTCGACCTTGGATGGGATTAGGATGACAAATAACTAGTGACCAACTCCATCATCGCAGTTAATCCTAGTTTGTCTCAGAACTTTCCAGCTACCCCTCGTACTTGAAGTCTTGAAGACTTTTTGTTGCTGTTGTATCTTTTGTTTCTCATCCATCAACGATGGAGCCATCAGGCAAATATAAAATTATTTATGCTATAGTTTTTGTATTTTATGATCATAAAGAGAAAGAGGCAGAAGTATT